ATTATTATCTTTATTATTAAGGAAAAATCCAGATCATGTCGAACGTAAACGTGAATATCTTCCTCAAACATGTTCATACGCCCGAGGAAGCTATTGTATCGTGAAAAACTTGTATCAGTGGTTCATTTTGCGCATTTTGGAAAATGATGATGAAAAATGTAGACCTTAGTACCTGGAGCACATCGTTATTTACATTTGTTATTTCTTAAATTATCCATTACAAACTCGTTGGTTTGATGAAAATCCATAATGAATCCGAGTCATATTTCACTGAGATATTCTTTCAAAACATTGCACAAAACCACACCGGGTCAGTCACTGTACTATAACTTCCTCGGGCGTGTTTATACTCAGCATGAACAGGTCGAACATAATAGCTTCCTTGGGCGTGTTCATAGAATATGAACACGTCCAACACAATAGCTTCCTTAAGCTTGTTTATACTCAGCATGAAGACGTCTAACACATAGCTTTCTCAGCACACTTAGTATGAACACGCCCAAGACTGTAGCGTCCTTGAGCGTGTTTATACTCTATGAACACGTCTAACACATCAGCTTTTATGAGCGTGTTCATACTTTTTTATGTACATGTCTAACACAATGGCCTAATACTCAGTAATAACACACCAAAGGAAGATAGTGTATGTGTAGACAAACCATTCATTTTATAATAAAAGATATCAGTGTCACAGCTTTCATCCGAGTTTGTTGGCGTGTGTGCCTCAAGGACAATGCAACTCGTGTTTCACTGTACTATAGCTTCCTTAAGCGTGTTCATACTCTGTAGCTTCCTCACAATAAAGTGGTAACTAGCTTCCTTAGGCGTACAAACACGCCTAAGAAAACAATTGTATTATGAAACACGTGTTGTTATTTTAATATAATGAATTTTCTATGTGATTTTTCGAATCGATTTAATAAAATGTGTAGGAAAATCAGTCGTCTCATAATACAAGAATCAATGTCACAACTACTTTCCGGGTTTGTTTGTCGGTGCTAGAAGATTTTCACTACTGAAATTTCGTCTGCCTTTTCGGTAGACATTATCACATACTAAAAGTAGTATGTACTAGAATATTCGAAGGGGAATGATACCCTGATGAACTTCAGATAAAATATGGAATAAATTCAGTGTTGGCTCAGACAAATTTATTTGAACTACAACTAGGTTGGTTTCAAATTGTACCATCTCAAAGCAGTGGTGCAGCAACAGCTGGTCGGGCGAAGTACGGCGAAGCTACGTATGGCGAAGCCACATAAGGGGAAGCCGCATAGGGGGACGCAACGTACGGAGAAGCAACATAGGGTGATGCCACATAAGGAGCAGCGATATATGGCGAAGCTACCGCTGGTACAGGTGCCACCAAAGAACTTCGCACAGCCGCAACAGGTGCCACAAGAGCGTTGAAGTTCTGCGCCACTACTTGGGAACTCTGGGCCGTTACGACCGCGGGGGCCACAGCTGGAGCAACTACCAGAGGGTCAGCGGACGCAGCAGCTTCTGGTTTGGGGTCTGCGAACACTGCAGCAGTCAGAGCCAAAAGTGTAATCTGAAAAAAATTGACAATTCGTTAAATCCCTGCAAACATTGACGAAGATATCTTCAAAAATACATTTTAGTGTTATGGAGGTGACAATAGGTCAGTGTGAAAACTTGAAGCAAAGTGAGGTACAGGTTTGGATGAGTGTAGACAATCACATGGTTCAGATTGTCATATAGAAGGACTTATTTCAATTCCAATAAAAAACATAATCGTTATCGAGTGCTTTGCAACAAGGTTGTTCACAAAAATCCCATTGTACTGTGTAGAGTAGGGATTCACTAGTTTTGAAATTGGTCTCTGTATAGGAACTACCACTCCAGAAACTGTTAATGATCTATTCCCGTGCTTTTTCCCATCTTGCGATTTGAACTTATGAATTTGAATATTCATTAGGAATAACTAATGCAATATGCTTCAAAATGGCTATCGTCAAGCAAAATCTATAGAGTTTGCCTAAAAAGCTGATCAACCAAAACTGTTTTGAAATCCTATTAAGTGATTGAGTGCATTGGTTTCGGTGTGAAGTTATCAGATTTGTTGAATGTCAATGAAACTGCAATTAATCGCAAATAGCACTGGCGGATCCAGCCAGGGGGTGCCTTCTTCCTCGTTTGATTATGAGGAACTAGAATGGAGCCTAAGCCAGTCCTAGACTCTTTCCCATTAACAAATGGCAACCGATAATCAGCTTCCTGGATGAGTTCCTTTGACTTCAAGAGGAAATTCACGCTATTGAATGTGCGGAGAAATTGGAAGAATTCAATCTCATACAAAAGTCAATAAAATTATTCTTGGACAGTGAAGCGGAGTTGGAAGCTCTTGGCTCCAACCGAGCAACGTCTGAATTGGTAGAAAATTGCCAAAAACGACTCTCCTCAATAGGAAGACTCAACATATTGTCTCTGGTCTGGATTCCTAGCCATACCGGCCTGGAAGGCAATGAAGCTGCTGATTTCCTGGCAAAGGAGGGTGCTGCAAGCAGCTTCATCGGACCAGAACCTGTGATTGGCATCGCTTTAGGCTTCGCCATCCAGATTGAACATCTGGATGGCATGGCAAGAAGACTTATGGACTTCTGGAAGAATCTTCCAGGATTGGCTCACTCCAAGGCGTTCATTCACTTTTCGAAGCTTGATACTGAACAGTTGTTGGATAACAGTAGGGATGAACTACGATGTCTAACAGGCCTTCTTACAGGCCACTGTCATTTGAATCATCATATGCAGAGACTCGGACTGTCGGAAGACAGTGTGTATCGTCTCTGTTTGGAAAATGATGAAACAGCAGAGCACATACTTTGTGTCTGCCCCGCTGGAGACCGAATCAGGTTTTTAGAGTTCGGCAGAGCCGTACTCTTACCATGTGACCTGAAAGACCACTCACCATACAAACTTATCGGCTTCGTTAAGGATATGGGTTTATTCGGTCGAGTGCGAATAGGTGTGACCCACAATGAATTCTTGCGTGTTGCGGTGGAGGGTCGAATAGACCCACTCACTTCGGACCTAACCTAACCGAACCCCTTGATTTATTTAAATAGAAACACTCTCACCAACTCGAAATATTATTTTCAGACACTAATTATGACATTCAAATTGCAAATGTCCTGCTAAGAAAGAGGCCGGATATGATTTCACGCGATACCAACGCCAACAGAACACCTTCCTTCACTACCCGTTTGCTCGACTGGAAAAATTTACTGAGCGGCCGTCGCCGTCGTAGAGGGAAGATCGTTACCAGCTTTCGCTCATCTCTTTCCTGTGTTGTTTAGTGATCCGATTTAGATCTAGTGGACTTCACTCACACCTAACTACACCAGTCAACACGAGTGCTCGACAAACTCACCGGATTTGCCCTTCTGTATGTTCCCTGGGACATTGATGTAGCAATGGATAATGTCATAGATCGGTTCGTTGAATCAAAGAACAAAAGAGTTGAGTTTATATTGTAGTATGAGTGTATATAAACTCAGATATAACTTTTTTGAGTCCTTTTTCATGACATACTCCTAAAATCACAATAATTTAGTTCAGTTGGAGACATTTGTGTAAGTGATCAAGTGTGAAAGCTATTTTCCGGGTTTTTTGGCTGTGGTTTTGTGTAAATGTTTAGCCTACAGACACAGATTCATTCCATGAAATGAACAGAATATCTAACGCTAAGTACAGTAAACGATTTTATCTTGTACCCTGAACATGTTCGATAAACAGCTTAATTTCCAATTAATAATAGCAAACATTTCATCTCAAGTGCGCTCCTCTTCTCAAATAGTTACTAGATTCGCTGCTGGAAAATAGCACAACCCTCTTTTTTTAATAGTGCCCTATTTTTGCCTTTTTGAAGTACGCCTCAGCGTTTTCAAATCCAACTTTGAAGGTACTATGGCAAGATTAACTAACAACTAACAACAAATACATAAAAAATAACTTAGGCCACATGTGACTCACTTTACATCCTCCCTAGGAGTTGTCCTCCTAGGTCATTGTCCATCCTGTCCTTTCCAGGAAGGTGGACAGGTCACTAGGAGACATCTCCTTTATATCGGCAGGTGTAGGCCAAGACTCGCCGAACACACACTCTCTCATATTGACGATAACTCCGGACCCTCGCATAGGACATGCCTGACATTGTCATCTTCCTGTTCACACATCCTTCATAGAGATGTGTCCTCTAGCCCCATATTATGGAGGTGTTTCCTTAGTTGACAGTGGCTAGTCAGAAATACTACTGTCAAGCATAGATTTTTCCTGGTCATCGCCAGATATTTTTTCGGCGCCAACTTTTCAGGGTCGCCGAGGGTGATCCTGTCAAGATTGCATCCTTTGATTCCATCCCATCTCTTTAGGGATTGAGCATGGGTGTAACATTTGGCTAGTTCCGTAATTGTCTAAGTCATTAGGCCGTAGGTGTCACTGGTTCCTGAAATTCTTAGTCCAGCCGCTTCCTTGGCTAAAGAGTCGGCAATACGATTATCTTTACTTCTATCGTGCGCTTTATTCCACCTCAGGATAATGTTATTATCTACCGAGGCTTTGGCTAAATCTTGGTGGCACTCTAGTACTAGCCCTGAGGTAACACGTTGTCTGTGCAAGGCTAATAGGGCTCGTCTTTGACTTCGGAGTAACTTCTTCCGTATTCCAATAAAAGAAAATCACTTTCACAACTATTCAGTTGTTGCGAACTTAGACTTCGACGTCAACCTTCGAATAAGAAATCATTTTCCGTCTTTTTCTGCAGCTTCACCGCGAACAGGCAACTAGCAGAAACACGAGCTCGAAAACAAAACATTCGTAATTCAACGCGAACGTGCAAAATTAAACCCAGAATGCTTCTGTTTCACCTCAGAGAGATGTAAACAGCAGTTTTGCAGTAACAATGAGTACTACAATGATTTGCATTTTTATTGCAATACAAACATTTATCATTATCGAAATGTAAGTCAGTGAAATTACATATTTTGATCCTCTACTCTTCATTGTGGAATCAACTCACTATATGTTCATTTTTATTATTTATTTATGTTGGTACACTTGCTTCGAACATATGTTCACATTTGCAGCTGTTTATTATGTTCAGTTTCTTGGTGAGAAGCATAACAGTTAAAAGCGTTTTGCGTGTTTGACGATTTTCTGCTGTCGATAAAAATGGATTGGAAAATTTGCATCCAATTCTGTGTAAATATGTAATTAAATGCTCAATAACACTTGAGATGTTGACAGTGGCATACGGTGATTGTACTCTGAGTCAGAAAAATGTTCAAAGTGGTTCAAGCGTTTCACAGGTCGAGAAGATGTAAATGACGACGATCGCCCTGTACGCTCCAGCACATCAACAACCGATGAAAATGCTGAGAAAGTAAAAAAAATTGTTATGGAGAATCCTCGAATCACTATTAGAGAAGTTCTTGAGGATGTTGACATATCGTTGAATCATGCCATGCCATTTTTTAGGAAATGTTGGGCATGAAGCGTGTGGCAGCACAGTTCGTTTTAAAATTGCTGAACTTTAACCAAAAAAGCCATCGCATGATCATCCCTCAGGAATTGTTGGATAACGTCAATGGTGATCCAGATTTGCTTAAAAGGATCATGACTGGTAGCGAATCATGGATGTATGGTTACGACATCGATACCAAAGACCAATCGTTCCAATGGAAGAGCCCAGGAGAGCCAAGACCAAAAAAAGCACGCCAAGTTTGATCAAATGTCGTAGTGCATCAGGAGTTTTTGCCACATGTTCGCACGATCAATAAGGAGTATTATCTTATGCTATGCGCCGCATGCGAGAAGCAATACGAAGAAATAGTCCGGTACTGTGGAAAAATAATTCATGGGGCTTGCATCACGATAATACACCTGCTCACTTGTCATTGATTGTTCGTAATTTTTTGGACAAAAACAACACCGTAACCATGCCTCAGCCACCATATTCACCAGATTTGCCGCCCTGCGACTTCTTCCTGTTCCCAAGACGGCGTTTTGCGACGATTGAGGAGGACTACAATGAAGAGGATCCAATAGAAATTGATGAATAAATAAATGTTTTTTGACAAAAATGAAATTGTATGTTTCAACAGACCCCGTATATCATTCAAGCTCAGTTCAGTCTACTTCCAAATGAGTTTTGTTGCACTTTCTGCATCCCTAGCAAAAACTATTTCATCCAAAACTATTTCAGTGAAAATTATTATGCTATAGATACTTTATTAGCTTATCTGCCATTTTTATTTATGGATTTGAATCTCCAGTGCATTCTCTACTAAGCTATGACTCACAAAAATATTTTTCTTGACATTAGAAGCATCGGACGAGCCGACTTAGCTAAACATAAATATAAAACAAAGAACTAATACTCACAATTCTGATCATGGTGGTTGGTTTGTTTGTTACTACGATTCACAATGTTCTTATGTCTGATAAGGGGCACTTATATATGAAAATTCCCACCTTCCTTGCGTCGAAATCTCCCTTGAATCATCATCATATGTGGTCATATACCCACGAAATAATGATTTATATGCGAAGAAGCGCTTAACGAACTTACCCAACGTACAGAGACATTGAAGCATCCTAAATCGAATCACGAATCGATGTTATATAATTGCGATGTATTGATTGAAATTGCTTCAACAATTGGTCGATTTCATTAGAACAAGTACACAGTTCTAAATTCGAAGAATTTTTGGTCAATTCAATACTATAGTAAGACGGAGATTTGGAAGTACATGTTGCATTGTGGTTTTGTACTTGATAAGCTCGCTAAGTATACTCTGCATTGAGTTTTCACACTTGCTAAGTATACCAAGGTTGCTGAGAATAGAAATTATGAATTTTCAGACCCATTACTTGATGAAAATTAATAGCACTATCCATGGTAATAACTCTATGATTTTCACCATGAATATTATTTAAAAAGCGTTTCGCTGCACTGTAGTTTCATCAGTTCCAGATTCATCATACCAGTTACTGATGGAGCTACTGTGTAACGAAACTCGTTTTGAATAGATTTTTTTTGAAAAATTGTATGATTTGTATCATGGATAAGAATAGAAGTTCCATTTTCCGTTGGTTATTCAGTTTTTAGGCAGAGTTCGTGAATAACACAAGTTACTAATTAATTGAACTGTACCGAAAATTGCGGCAACATCAGCCGGCACTGGTCAGTAGAAGAGATCCGATCCTACTGCACGACAACGCCCGTCCGCACATTTCACAAATCACCGTCCGAAAATTCAACGAATTGATCATCGAAGTTCGGCCTCACCCACCATACTCCCCAGACCTCTCGCTAGTCGACCACCATTATCTCAAGCACTTCGATGAATTTTTCATCGGTAGAACCTTTCCCTTCGTCTACTTCATCGAATCCCGAGCACCCAATTTCCATGATGACGAAATTAATCGACTTGTGTTACGTTGGCAAAAGTGCCCTGATTCAAATTACGCTCATTTTGATCAAATTGAATAATAATAATAATAATAAAACATTTATTTTCTATCAAAGGTAACAAGAAATCCAAATAAAATAAAAAATACACATACACAGTTTCACTCAGTCAATCGACCGCTGTGCTAACCAGTGGGTCGAACCGCGAAGCTGAACGGTCGATTTTTTACTTTTTACTTGCCGCGAACCTAGTTATTCTGAATGCTGAACAAAAGCTGTTCAAACATACTTTTATAAACAGTTTCTGACATGTTAAAATAATTGTTTTTCCATTCTGGAGGGGATATTATAGGAAAAACACCGTTTAAATATTTCCTTTTTAAGTACAGGAATGTTCAACATTACCATTACACGCAAATAGTTTAAACATCTGTTCTATAAAACAGATGTTCATATAAATAGGTACGATTTCAAAGAATATGCATGTTGCATCAAAACGTCTACGATTAAACATATTCAACCACTTCAAATCTACCAATTTGTGTGAGATCCTAGACCTTCTCCTGATACTAAATATTAACCCGAAGCAAGAGTTTTGAACTTTTTATATGCGACACCTGTCGTTTTCATCTAAACATGAATGATGAACAACGTTACAGTGGTTGAAATAAGATAAAACTAATGAATCACATAGCATACATCTCCTTAACATCTACATTCAAATATTTTTCATGGGGATATATGAGTTTCAGTAATGAATAACCAATTTTTAAAGTTTGTAGGTTACAAGTTCATGAAATCTAAGCTCTGAATCTAAGATCTTAAATTAACCCCATACGGCCTAAATTGTATCTCAGAGTTTTCCATTTTCAAGCTGCAGCTTTTTACTTCTTCCTTGATGCTATCACTTCCAAAGATAAATTGTTTGGATTGATTTGCAACAATGCAGATCAAAATTTATATTAGTTACTAATTGACGTATATCTGAAGATTTGAAAAATAAATATATTTCAGAAGTCATCTGCATAAAGGTGATATTTGAAAGACTTTTAACTTCTTGATAAATGTGGCAGTATAGAGGCACTCTTGTTTCAACTTCTCTCCGAGTGGAAGGAATATTATTCTAGACAAGACGATGTCAACATTACTGATGCATTACTTAACCTAAAAAAGTGTTATATAGTACAGAGAATTGTATAATTGATGTGACAAATAATCCAATAGAATCGAAATGGTGGCTTCATTTATATCCAGTTTTCTACATCCCAACCAACTTTCAAACTATTTTTGAAATTTTGTTAACTTAATTATCAACTAGAAGTAGGAAATTGAACATTGGAAATACGCTTGAAAATTGTTTGAGATTATAATTAATCGTGCAATTGTGACAAATCATATGTATTCCAGCATTTCCTGTATTAATGGAACTAACATTTGTACCAGGTGAATTCACTTCTGTGTTACAAACAATCCTCGTATTTTAAACGCACTCATTACCTTTTTCCACGAAATTATCTTCAACATGACGTTAGACAGCATCTTGACTTGCAGAAGAAGTTGTATTGGAAGCTTCATTGGGTAAATTACATTTTTGCACTAATTCGTCGATTCTCTTCTTATCAGCTATTGATTCCTCAATATATTCTTCAGCCACTGCAGCCGACTTCCACCCACCGTGCCGTTTCAGGCTTAGTAAGTCTCCTCCGTTTTCTGCGAGAAGTGTTGCCGAGCTACGTCTTAGAGAATGACCAATATAACACTCAGGATTTTCTAATTTGAGATAATTAGACACGACATATGGTACTTTATTAATAGTATTGTGCCCAATATTTTGTTTGATATGTTTACCTTTACGATATAAAATAAATAGTTCTGTAATGTCAGTTGGCCTATTAGCTAAGTATTTTTCAATAACATTAACCCATTGTAGCTCAACAACAACAAACTTCCTTGGTGTTCTGTTCTTTGAATTGAGAATATTTATTATGATAATATCATCGCAAACATCTAAATCGTCTAGGAGCATATTGCATAATTTATCTGTTCTGCAGGCACCGGAAACACCAATTACCATAAGAGCCTAAATATCATTCCATTAAAAAATTAAACACAATCTGATAATAAAAAGGTTAACCTTTTTTGATAAATATTCGTCATCAGGAGCTTCAACTATAAATTTGTCAATTTCTTCCTTTGTAAATTGTAAGGTGACGTTCGAGAAAAGAACCGGCAAGGATCTGTGAGAAAGTCAGCTAACACATGGGTTGTGAAGTCCCGGGCCTAAGAAAGAAAACGCGTTTTTTTTTGTTCAAAATTGGCTTTATCCATCAACGTACTCTCCATGAAGAGTCACATAATCATTACAGAGCCGCTCTAACATTTCAATACCACTTTTGTAGAACGATTTATCTGTTGCTTCAAAATAGGCCTCAGTTTCAACAATGACCTCTTCTTTCGAGCAAAATTTCTTACTGGTGAGCATTTTTTGAGGTCTGCGAACAGTCAGTAGTCGCTGGGAGCCAAATCTGGAGAATATGGCATATGCGGGAGAAATTCGAAGCCCATTTCATGCAATTTTGCCATCGTTTTCATTGATTTGTGACATTGTGCTTCGTTTTGATGAAGCAGCATTTTTCCTCAAATGGGGTCGTTTTCCCGAAATTTCGGCCTCCAAACGCTCCAATAACGCTATATAATATTCACTGTTGTTGGTATTTCCTTTCCCAAGATAGTAGATGGATATTACACCACGCACATACAAATACTGAGGTTTTAACCTTTTCAGTCGAATGTTGTGCTTTCGGGCTCTTTGGGCGAGATTCACCAGTTGCTCTCTACTCAGATGACGTTCGTTTTGATTCCGAAGTGAAGTGATGGATCTGTGTTTTATCCATTGTCACATATCGACACAAAAATTCCAGTTTGTTCTGTTCAAATATGACCAAACACTGCTCAGAATCATCAAGACGTTCTTGTTTTTGGTCAACAGTGAGCTCGCGCTGCACCGACTTGGAACACAGCTTCCTCATAGTCAAATGCTCATGTAATATTGAGCCATTGCGTTCTTTTGATATCTTTAGAATGTCAGCTAACTTAAGCAACTTCAATTTTCGATCATTCGAAACTATTTTGTGGATTTTTTTGTTTTCTGGTGTTACTGCCTCATTTGGACGTCCACTGCGTTCTGCATTATCGGTGTCACAACGACCACGTTTGAAGTCAGCCAACCAACGGCGGCTCGTCAGAGGAGGCAAAGAAGGCTTAGCTTCCCCATAAAATTAGAGGCTACTCATCGCAATAAATTAAACGGTATTGACAAATAGTTATGATCATTTTTTTCTAAAAATACTTGGGTATCATTACTTTACCATTGATTTTTAATATAAATACATAATATGCCCAAAAAATCACTATTACTCACTATGTAGTAAGTACCACACTGTATCCTGCATCAACAAAACTCAAACGCACCGCCCATGAACGAATAACGAATGAACCATCAACCCAAAATAATAAATGCCATACGTTGCAAGGGAGCCAAGCCTCCCTTTAAAAAACACAGGCTCCACGACACCGATCCAACTAGCGACATACGTCCCGATTTGTAATTTCAGTTGCAGAAATTATAGCGTTGGAGAAGGCTAGCCTTCAGTTGGTCTCCGTACGACTGCGTTTGTTTTTTATTCAATAATTCGGACGGGATGCGGTGACGGACCGGGACTGAAAAATATTTCGGTAAATTGTTTTAGTGTTTCTTGGTAATATTTATTATTTGTGTATAAAACAGGTAGTATAGTATTATAGCAGACCTTTTTGGTAATATTTTAAATATGTTTTTAAAGTGTTTTCTTTCACTTTCAAGGTGTTTTCAGGTTTTCACTTTTTGGTAAGTTTTTTTTATAGGCCTCAGTTTCAACAATGACCTCTTCTTTCGAGCGAAATTTCTTTACCGGTGAGCATTTTTTGAGGTCTGCGAACAGCCAGTAGTCGCTGGGAGCCAAATCTGGAGAATATTATATATGCAGGAGAAATTCGAAGCCCATTTCATGCAACTTTGCCATCGTTTTCATTGATTTGTGACACTGTGCTTTGTTTTGATGTAGCAGTATTTTTTCCTCAAATGGGGTCGTTTTCCCGAAATTTCGGCCTCCAA